TTTATGGAAATTGCGGCTCATTATTTAAGGAAGTATTTAAACTATATTTTAAGATACCTTAATTACTCAAATCATGTGAATTAATTGGTATATGGTATAAAATGAACGAATTTATTTTTGGTATTGATGATTATTTATATAAGAAATAAATTAATCAATATATGGTATAGAGTGAGCAAATTTATTCAGGTTATTTGATGACTGTTTTCTGGTAGGAAATTTGTGAAAAATTAATTAATATACGGTGTACTTTTTTCAACAATGAGCAGACCAATATATTGGTTTTTTGGCGTGAGTTTCAATTTTTCGTATGAATTTAATATAATAAATTTACCGCTATTCCGACAAAATAATATGAATGGATATTTTGATAAAATATGTTGTATCGATGTTTCTTTTATAGAAAAAGCTCTGGTCAATTTTTTTTTAATAATTAGTGGAGTTTGATTTAATTCATTTTTGTTACGACATTTCAAATACTATTTGTGTGAAATGCACTCTTCAATTTTTTTAGGATGATAAGAAGTGTCGATTTTGTTGGTATAAAAAACCTTATGACTGATTGTTTTTACTCAACTACTTAAATATTTTGATTTGGATATTTTATACAATAATAAATTTATATTAACTAATGAACAATATAGCTTTTATATTTATACATATTATTCACATAGCTCTTTAAATATATAATAAATTTTACCAAAATAATTATTTTATGGAATCACTTTATAGTCAAATCGAATTTCTGAATAAAATTTTTGAAATGACACATATTTTGAATCGAATATAATGTAATTTATTATCAGTTATGTGCAACGCGCGGGTTGTGTACTAATTTTAAATACACATTTTTATGTAATTTTGCACCATTTAAATTTTCTATAATATTTTCAATAAATTAATATAGGTACATTGTATTACATATTGATTCTATAGGTACATTGTATTACATATTGATTCCATGTTTTTAATTTATAATATTATTTAATGAGAATCTTTAATTTATAAATATTAATGAATGTCGTTTACCCGTGCATTACACGCGATTCGTACTAATAGAAGCTAAAGAAGATTGATTTTTCTACAAAAGAACTTAAATTGTTAATAAGAAATACATATTTTCTTTATAAAATAATTCTACTTGGAGGGAAATATTTAATGTTTATTTATATATTTCATTCTTTTAACTAACACTAGTAATCATGTAACAGTTGACATGCACGGAAGAAGTCAATTTGATTGTATAAAAATAATATATAAAAATTAAATTACAAATTATTCTTTGTACACGAAATATATTGTATATTTATTCATTGTTCATCTTTGAAAAATAATATTTTTATCTTTTTTGATTTGTCATTTAAAAAAAAATTATTAGTCAAAACATTCAATCACAATATATTAACTAATACGTGATAGTGACAAAACCTAATAAAAATGACTCACAATAAAATTACAGAGAAGTACATTTAAAAAAACGATTTTATATATATGATTTTATATAAATCGCTACTATTACATATAACATTTTTAGCTAAAATTTTCTTTGCAATTTATGCTTTGAGATTTTTTTTTCAAAACAAATATTAAATGCATTTAGCCAAAGACATACATAATGTTTATTTTATTTTAATTTTAGAATTAATCAAAAAAATAATAGATCTTTTCAATGAAACTGTTGACATAGTATATCCAAAGACTACGAATTTGCCCTATTATAATAAAAAATAAAATGAATGATCTGATGTTGATATAAACGCCACAAATAAGTCATGAAAAAATTATTTTCATATAAACATAAAAATTATAATTTTTAGTTTATATGCACACTATAATGTTAAAAATTTGATAAAAAGACCAATAATTATTATTTTTTTATATAATCAAAATATTTACTTATTTTTTAATACAAAAGGTATAAATATATTTTTCATTCTACTTATAAAACTATTTTTAATAATACATGTATATAGATATAGATTAGCGGAGTATCTTCTCAATAACAATATATAGTTTGTGTGAAGATTTTAACTGAAAACCAAAATAATTATTAAATTATTAAAAATAATATTCTTAATATTTAAATATATATATATATATATATATCAATTTTTAAGAACCCAACAAATTTTACTCAAATATATTTTTTTCTTTCCATTAAACATAATAAATATTTTATATTATTTTATAATTTATATTTAATTTATGATAATTTAATTTATAATTGATCTGAAGTAATTTGGACATAATTATAGGTATATTTAAATTTAAGTATCCCATAAGAGTTATAGAATGTTAGATTTTTTTTTCCCCAAAGGCTTTGATTTTTAATAGGGAACACAGTATTTTCAAATAAATTAGTAATATTTGACTGAAAAATTTTAATATGCCTATTTGTAGACTTTCTCATCTTTAGTAATATATACATTTAGGTAACTTTTTTTTAACCTTTGTCACTAAATTAATGTAAAGAGTTATTGACAAAAATAGCAAATCTCAAAAACGATGATGATGGTTGAGGGACGTGGTACGAGGGAACGAACGAAGAAAAGCGAAGAATAAAATCCCAGACGCGCAATTGGGCCTACACAAACCCCCGCAACAAAACCGAGGTGCTAGGTCTGTCGATCCATTGATCTGCCAGTATCAATCCTTAACTGATCTCTCTCTAAGTCTTCTCTAAGAAGATTGCCAATTGCTCTATCAACATAATTGATAAAGTCACCGTCCAACCTGTCTCATCATCAAAAGACGAGCTTTGCATGGATATACGATGCGTCACCCTATGCCTCTAGCTGGCGTCAGACATTTATTTATTTATTTATTTATATACTTTTTTCTATGTATAAATACTGTATATTTAAATTTAAGTATCCCATAAGAGTTATAGAATGTTAGATTTTTTTTTCCCCAAAGGCTTTGATTTTTAATAGGGAACACAGTATTTTCAAATAAATTTGTAATATTTGACTGAAAAATTTTAATATGCCTTTTTGTAGACTTTCTCATCTTTAGTAATATATACATTTAGGTAACCTTTTTTTAACCTTTGTCACTAAATTAATGTAAAGAGTTATTGACAAAAATAGCAAATCTCAAAAACGATGATGATGGTTGAGGGACGTGGTACGAGGGAACGAACGAAGCAAAGTGAAGAATAAAAGCCCAGACGCACAATTGGGCCTACACAAACCCCCGCAACAAAACCGAGGTGCTAGGTCTATCGATCCATTGATCTGCCAGTATCAATCCTTAACTGATCTCTATCTAAGTCTTCTCTAAGAAGATTGTCAATTGCTCTATCAACATAATTGATAAAGTCACCGTCCAACCTGTCTCATCATCAAAAGACGAGCTTTGCATGGATATACGATGCGCCACCCTATGCCTCTAGCTGGCGTCAGACATTTATTTATTTATATACTTTTTTCTATGTATAAATACTGACCCCCTGGGTCCTAGCAAGGACATGAAAAGACAAGCCAAGCATCTTCCCCACACGCTCATATAGTGTTGTAATAAACCACACAATCTTTTTATAAAAAATTCCGAAGAATCATTCTCCTTGCCGATCTCCACAGCAAATCGACAATATCGATGCGTTGTTTCTTTTTTACGTATATTCAATTTCCTACGCCTGTTAATATTCTCAGTTGATTTATTTCAATCGATTCATATACTATAAACATATTGTAACCCTCAATTAAATCGCCTAATTTATATCAACTGTAACCTTTGGTCAGGGACAGATTCAGAAATTAAGACTAGACTGGGCTAGAATTTTAAAAACTTTAATTTTTTTCTTCAAATATTTACTGAAGTTGTGTTCGACGAGCTTCTACAACAAAAATCATAATGATCATTTTGCACTGTGTTTGATATACTTTCACTAGTTTAACATCGATCCCGTTTTCTAAATAACAATGATATTAATGGGGTTTTTCCTTTTTTGGCCGAAGATTGGTGCTCCATGTGAATTTTAAAAATTCCACAATACAAATAAATAGATTTTTCATATGGCATAGTTATTAGCAAAATGAAATGCCTAGACATCAAAAGTATTTATCTAACTATGATATATAACAACCACTAGAGGATAAGAGATAAAACACACACACACACACACACACACACATACACACACATACACAATTACTACTTTATACACAATCAACAAAACAATACGAAATGATCCTAGCAATTACTATTAGAACCCTGAACAGCTCAACTAAAATGAGAAGATAGATAAAGACAATTAGGCAAATGAATCAAATATCTAATAGGGGGTTCAAAAATATAACTTAACTATTAAAGAAAAAAATTAAATCGTCTTCTTGAAAGTATCCTCTTTCTTGTTGAATAGGTTTTTTTTTCTCTTCTAAATTCAATGTTCTGGTGTGTCAGAGGAGGGACATGGCCGTAGCTAATTTATTTGATTGGAGTTTGATGTATAGTGGTGTTTTGTGGGTTAGTGCCTAGTAAAAAGGGTGGATCACCAATATATTTTAGAGAAAATTGCACCCCATACTTACGCATTTAAATTATATTACACTTTTCGACCCCTTATATATTTATTTTTAAAATTACCTAAGAAGCTACAAATATTTTCAATTATACCTAAACATTAAATTTCCATAATGTTTTCAATCAAGTCCACCGTCATCAGATTTTCTTTATCCGATATCAAGCAGAAAACCTCACGTCTCGTACCATCCGGTTTTTCTCTTCAGTATAAGTCGATCATATATCATCGTTCGTCGCCCGTATATCGAGCAGATCTTCAATCGCAGAAATCCCATCGATCGATTTTTTTTTTCACAAAAAAGGGATTCCCTGTACGATCATCGCACATCTCACCGCCTTCCTCGTCAACCTTCACCGGCCTGAGAAGATTGTCGTGCGGGAGCAGCAACTCCAGGCCCGATCCGGATCCAAGTCTTTGTTTGATGTGGTTCATATATGGATTTATATGCACCATAAATCTGATTCAGAGGAGACTGATGTGGATCCTTTTGTTTCCGGAAGGGAATGAGTTGGATGAATTATCTTGGGTTTATGAAGGAGACGAGCGTGACAGCGTGCAGGGGGAAGAAGAGAACCGGGTGGAGGTTGGTGATTTGAGTGGAAAAAGCACGGTACAACAGCAACCACCGGGGATGGAGGCTCCTCCAGCATTGGCCCATAGATCGGATGGCTCCACCGCGGCCGTACCACCGCCGCCGCCGGTCCTCTTCAAGAGGAGGCGGATTGCGATAGCCGTGGGGAGGATGAATATGAGCGCACAAACAGACACCTGCTGCCACCTCTCCATTTCTCTATTTTGATTTCTGTTCAATTACCAATCACTTGGAGCCTGGAGATTGGTGCTTTTTGTTTCAGATTTTTTCAATCGGTGGACCCTTTTGGAGTAAGTAGAAGAGTTCGAGACAATGGAAGAAAAAACTGGAAATTGGAGACTGTGGGTATATGTTCTGTATAATATAAGGGCTACCTTATATGTATGTATGGTTTATATTGACAAAACATAAACTGATGATTTTTTTTTTTTTTTTTTTTGTATATGTATGATTTATACTCAGTATATTTTCGGTATATGATAAAAGAATTTATCGCGGGACCTAATTTTTATGTTTAAAATCTATTTAAAAATAGCATAAACTGAATTTTTTTGTTGGTGTTGTGTATATGTATGGTTTTATATTAAGTAATCTGTTATAATATGTTTTTAAACAATATATATACTTTTATGTATAATAGAAAAAAAAAAAAAGAGGAAGATACAATTTTTTATGGAAGACATTTTTTTCATTGTAACATATACTGAATATACTAACATAAACTCAATATATACCAGCCGCGTGAATTAAGGAATTTCAGTTGCGCACATATACTGAATATATACTAACATAAACTCAATATATACCACCTGAGAGCTACGTGAATTAAAGAATTCCAGTTGCGCACATATACTGAATATATACTAACATAAACTCAATATATACCACCTGAGAGCTGCGTGAATTAAAGAATTTCAGTTGCGGGAATTAAGGAACTACATGAGTAAATCACACCACCAAAGGATAACTGATATGGATAGAGAACGTTACAAAAGGTAACTGATATTTTGGTAATTACGTAAATAATATAGCTTGATTAGGTATATATCCTATTAATTGTTCTAGGGAGGTAAAATTGAAAATTCTTTTATTTCATGTAGTATGTGCAAAAATTTCCTTATATTTTATTAGAATATTGTTAGTAGTCTTTAGACTTAATAGATAAGAGAATTATTGGACTGTGCTAGATTGGGCTAGAAATATAATTTTTTTTTTTCAAACCAATAGTTGTTAAAACATAAAAAAAGAGGTCTGGACTTCCGCCCAGCCCAGGCCTCACATAGATCCGTCCCTTTGGTGGTAGACCGTCAACAAAATGGCACTAGAAAGAGAGAGTCCATCAAGGGTTACCTCTCAACCTCACACCTATATAAAAGTATCTTCAATAGAGATTTTTTCACAAACGCTCTCTCTTCCCTCCTTACCAAGATAGGCAACACAACTGACCCTCTTTCTCTTGTAATCGATCGAAAGAAAGGGCTGTTCAACCCTTGCAGTTACTACACACACTAAGGTCAGGGAGATTCATTATTCTTAAAAAATTATAATCTTGCACTTGTTCCATAGTTATATAATGATATTTATTGCTGATTTCTTAAAGGAGAAACAATTATACATGCCACATTCCAAT